ATCCAATTTTGTCTGTCCTCCAATACACTCCAATCCAGCCAACATAAACCTCTTGGTAAACACGGTAAACTTCTTCTCTCCAAAGCCTCCACATCCTTCTTATACTGCGGTGACAATACTACAAATGTGGTTTGAAAAAAGCCTTGTACTGCAACATGACTTGCCAATCTTTATAAAAACCAAAAGAAGTGTGGATGCTGTAAATCAGTAACAAAAACAAAGTTGCTGGAAAAGCTCAACAGGTCTGGCAGTATCAGTGAAGGAAAAAATATAGTTAACGTTTCGAGTCCAGTTCTGAGGAAGGGTCACCGGACCCAAAACGTTAACTCTGATTTCTCCTTCACAGATGCTGCCAGACCTGCTGAGCTTTTCCAGCAACTTTCTTTTTGTTGCCAACCTTTATACCCATCCAGATGCCTTTTAAATGTAATTGTACCTGCCACCACCACTTCCTCTGATAGCTCATTCCATACATGTACCACCCTCTGCGTGTCTCACAGATCCCTTATAAATCTTTACTCTCTCACATTAAACCTATGCCATCTAGTTTTGGGCTACCCTGGGAAAAGGAATTTGGCTTTTCAAACTTTTCCATGTCCCTCATGATTTTATAAACCTCTATAAGGTCACCCCTCAGCTTTGATGCTTCAGGGAAAAAAAATCCTCAGCCTCTTTAGCCTGTCCCTATTGTTCAAAGTGGTTCCACACATAAATTCACTCCTTTGTCCTTGAGAGGACCTATCTTTTCCCTAGTTTCTCTCTTGCTCCTAACATACATATAAAATGCCTTAAGATTCTCCTTAACCTACTTACCAAGGACATTTCATGGTCCCCTCTAGCCCTCCTAATTTCTTTTCTAAAGTTCTTTTCAGCTTCCTTTTTACTCCTCAGGAGCCTTGTTTGATTTCTGTTTCTTAAACTGCTGTAAATAGCCTTCCCCCTATTTAGTACTTGCACTTATGGACCAGTCTTATCCCTTTCCACAGCTATCTTAAAACTTACCGAATTATGATCACTGTTCCCAACTGAAGCTTGGATCGCTTGGCCATGCTCATTACCCAATATAAGGTCTAATATGGCCCCTTCCCTAGTTGGACTATCTGTATTTTTTAAGAAACCCTCCTGGATGCACCTAACACTTTCTGCCCCATCTAAGTCCCTGACACTAAGGAATCCCAATGTACATTTGGGAAATTAAATTCACCCGCTACCACACCCTGCTGATTTTACATCATTCCATGATCTGCTTACATATCTGTTCATCTTATTCCTGCTCGCTGTTGGGAAGCCTATAGCAAACTCTGTCATAGTGACTGCACCTTTTTTATTCCTAAATTCTACCATATAGTCTCGTTGGATGAGCTGTGCAAGATGTCATCCCTCAGTGTAGCTGTGACATTCTCCTTAATCAGTAATACAACTCCCCTACACCTTTTACATCCCTCTTTATCCCAGTTGACACATTGCAACCCTGGAAAATTGAGCTTCCCAGTCCTGCCCTTCTCTCAACCAAGTTTCTGTAACAGCTACCACATCATTGTCTCATGAACTAATCAAGGTTCTAAGTTCATCTGCTCTATCTGTTATACTCCTTGTGTTAAAATAAATACACTTCAGGCCTTTAGTCCTGCCATAATCATTAACCTAACCTTGCCTGTTCTTCCTATTAGACTTACTTCACTTAGCTACTCTCTTCACTCTAAACACTCGACATGCTGTCTGACTGCTCAATGTTCCAACCCCTTTCGACACTAATTTAAACCCTTCTGAGTGAAACTAGCTCAACGCCCTGCAAGGATATTGGTGCCCCTCCAGTTTAAGTTCAATCCATCCTTCTTGTACAGATCCTTCCTGATCTGGAAGAGATCCCAATGATCCACATATCTGAATCCCTCCCTCCTAGCACCAGCTCTTTAGCCATAAATTCAACTGTATTATCTTCCTTTTCTCTGACCTCATTTGCATGTGGCACAAGAAGAAATTCCAAGATTACAGCTCAAGAGGTCCTGCTTTTCAACCTCCTGTTTGATTTCCTAAATTCCCTTTGCAGGACCTCAACTGTCTTTCTGCCTATGTCAGAGACAAAAATAGAAATTGCTGGAAAAACTCATCAGGTCTGACAGCATCTATGCAGAGAAATCAGAGCTAACATTTTGGGTCCAGTGACCCTTCCTCTGTCTAAATTGTTAGTACCCATATGGTCCACATCCTCTGGCTGCTCATCCTCCCTCTTTAGAATATCCTGTGCCCACTCAGAGACACCTTAACCCTGGCACCAGGGAGGCAACATACCAATCCTGGAGTCTCGATTGTAGAGTACTGCTTGTTTACAATTTGACCCTCCCTGCTGTACAACTGGGCCAATTGTAGTGCCATTGATCTGGCTGCAGGTGCTTTCCCCTGAGAGGCCAGCCCCCCTCTAACAGTATCCAAAAAAGCATATCTGCTTATTCAGGAATGGCCACAAGGACTCCTGCGCTGCCTGCTTATTCTTAGCAGTCTTCTTGGTGGTCACTCAATCCTTCGCTGTCAATGTAGCCCTTACTAGCGGTGTGAAGAGCTCAATAACCATATTATCCATGATATTCTCAACCTTATGGATGCTCTGTAATGAAGAGTTTAGTAAATATAACAAATGAGATGAGAGTCAGTCAGCAGCTTTACAGTAATCATTACACTACGATTACAGAAACATGGTTTCAGGAAGAACTAAAATGAGAGCTCTAATTTCCTGGTTTCAGGTGAAAGAGAGAGGGAAATAAATGATGTGGATGTGGACATTTTGGTCAGGGCTAGAAAGTTTTTAAAGAGGGATTAGATACACAGGGGTCATATTCCCTGAAGCAGAGGAGACTGAGGGGTACATGATTGGGATGTAGAAAATTTTGAGGGGCATAAACAGGGTACACAGGAAGGAACTTCTCGCTTTGCTGGAGGGTTCAATGACCTGAAGCATAGTTTTAAGGTGAGGGGCTAGAATTTTGCAGGAGATGTGAGGGGAAAACATACTTCACCCAGGGTGTGGTATGAATCTGGAACTGTAGGTATGGTGGAGACAGAAACCTTCATAATGTTTGTAAAAGTATTTAGATATACACTTGCAGTGTCAAGCCATACAAGGCCAAGTGCTGGAAAATAGGATTTGAATAATTAGGTTGTTGTTTTTGACTAGCATAGATTCGATGGGATGAAGGACCTATTCCTGTGCTGTACACCTCTATGATGGCTCTATAACAAAATTTCAGCTGATGAAATAATTGATTGTGTGATTGATAGTGAGGAAGGAAACTTAGACTTCAGGAAGTTATCATTGGATGGGTTAGGTATATAGTGTAATGACCAGGAGTGTAGGAGGTTTAACAGTGATGTGAGAAAAGGTTTATTTTTCACCCAGAGGCTGGTGGGAATCTGAAATACACTGCCTGGGAAAGTAGTTGAGGCTGTGTGACCATAATACTCTGCTACTAAATGACTGTACTTTTTTTTATTTTTCTGTATCTTTGATTGTGGACTGGATGAGGAAAAGGAGGCTATGTGCAGATGGGCTGGTACTAAGGATGTATACAAAGTGAGATTCGGTCAGCAACAAATAGCTGATTGGTTCATGGCATTTTGGCCAGTTGTGAATAATGAAGACCATCATCATGACAACAACAATCTGATTGGCTCCTGGATAGCTGATCAGTTTAAGGTTTAAGGTAACGGGCAGAAGATGGGGAGACAGTGTGTCTTTCTCTCCAGTAAAATACTTTTATTTTTATTCACTCATAGGTTGTGAGCATTGCTGGCTGGGTCAACATTTATTGCCCATCCCTACATGTTCTTGAGAAGGTAGGGGTGAGCTGCTTTCTTGAACTGCTCAAGTCCATGTGCTGTAGGTAGACCTACAATGTCTTCAGGAAGGGAATTCCAGGATATTGACCCAGAGATATTGAAGGTACTGCGATGTATTTCCAAGTCAGGATGGTAAGTGGTTTGAAGGGGTACTTGCAGGTGGTGATACTCCATGTATCTGCTACCCTTGTGCTTCTAAATGGTTGTGGTCATGGTTGGAAGGTGCTGCCAAAGGATCCTGGTGAATTTCTGCAGTGCACCTTGTAGATAGTACATATTACTGCTACTTAGCATCGGTGGTGGAGGGAGTGAATGTTTGTGGATGTGGTGCCAATCAAGGGGGCTGCTTTATCCTGGATGGTGTAAAGCCTCTTGAGTATTATTGGATCTGGACCCATAGAGGAAAGTGGGGAGTATTCTATCAGACTCCTGACACGTAACCTTTAGCTTGTGAATAGTCTCTGGGGAGTCAGGAGGCAAGCTACTCACTGCAGTGTTCACTGCCTCTGACCTGCTTTTATACCTACTCTGTTTATATGGTGAGTGCAGTTCAGTTTCTCATCAGGTGGAGGTGCTTTTGTTGGACAGTGATGGACAAGGTTAGAAGTTACACGACACCAGGTTATAGTCCAGCCGGTTTATTTCAAATCACAAGTTTTTGGAGTGCTGCTCCTTTGTCAGGTGATTATGTGACTTCTGACCCAGCTTCTCATCAATAGTAACCTACAAGATGTTGATAGAGGGGGATTCCCTTTAAACATTGCTGTTAAAAGCCTATATGTTGCATTCACATCTTTGAGGGAAGGAAACATGCCATCCTTACCTTGTCTGACCCACAGGTGCCTTACAGCAATATGGTTGACCTTTACTGCCCCCTGGGCAATTAGAGATGGGTAATAAAAACTGGCCTAGCTAGCAATACCTACATTCCATGAACAAACTTTAAAAAAAAGTTCTAGTTTATTCAGTCTCTCTTCATGCAGCAGTCCCTTTCCAAAAAAGTGGATTATTTTCCTACTTCATCTTATCTCAAAGAATCATAGAATTCCTACAGTGTAGAAGCAAGCCATTTGGCCCATTGAGTCCATACCAACCATCCAAAAAGAGTGTTATTTGTTGAAAGGAATGTTTTCTCTGTCAGTTGTCATGCTAAATCACAGACTTACCTGCTCCATTGAGATGCTTTTGTAAATCACAGTTTGGTTCCATTCGGGATTGAGGCTTTTCTGTACATGCTTAGTTCTGCGTTTGTTCTCTACGCTGTTATAAAACATAACACAGTGTTAAATAAATCAGAGGTTATGAACTGGGTGTCTACTTTTATGACAATAGTAATTATAGAAATATATCCTGCTCTGCAATTTCAGTTTTTTTTAAGAGTCTCAAGAACAGTTTCATTCTTGTCAACTGAATTGAATTCAAAATTGACATTTTTCTTTTACTTATAGAACAAATGTCCTTAAATTGGTGTCGCTGGCTGGGCTCAGTATTTATTGCCCACCCTTGTTGCCCTCGGGAAGGTGGTGGTGAATTGCCTTCTTGAAACGCTGCAGTGACTGAGAATAAAGTGGCTGAGATACAATGGCTTGTTACCTTATTGCCATTGCTTAAGTTTTAGAATAGCATCAAGATCTGTTTTCATATAGTACAGATGGAAATGTGTTGGGCACTGGCATATGAAATTTTGAAGCTCACTGTAACCTGCCGGTGTATTTATCACTGCTGGTGAACAATGCATATTCAAAACTACATGGAAAATCGACACTTATCTTGGACAACATATATTACAGCTGCCAAACTTCCACTTAAATGATAGAATGTATTTTTACATCAAATTGATTGAAGAGGGTGTACTAGAAATATTTCTGTCCAAAGCTTGTTCATGGATTGTTGGATTTCCAGTTTTTAAACACTGTTGTTTTACTCTTAGCTAAAGGAATAAGAATATTTACAGAGAAAATTCCTGTCTGTTATCATGTTACTGAAGTGAATAAAAACACCAGTGCGGGAATAACAAGATGTGAAGTTGGATGAACGCAGCAGGCCAGGCAGCATCAGAGGAGCAGGAAAGCTGACGTGTCGGGTCTGGACCCTTCTTCAGAAATGGGGGAGGGGAAGGGGGCTCTGAAATAAATAGAGAGGGGGAGGCGGTGATAGAAGATGGATAGAGGAGCAGATAGGTAGAGAAAAGATGGACAGGTCAAGGAGGCGGGGATGAAGCCAGTAAAGGTGAGTGTGGTTAGGGAGTTGGGATGGGGTTTGGTCAGTGAGGAGGGAGAGGCGAGTAGGTGGGAGGGAAGATGGACAGATCAAGGAGGCAGGGATGAAGCTAGTAGGTGGGTGTAGGTAGGAAGTGGGGGTGGGGTTTGATCAGTGAGGTGGAAGGAGCAGATAGGTGTGAGAGAAGACGGACAGGTCAAGGAGGCGGGGACCATAGGGGATCTGGTCTTGGGATGAGGTCGGGGGTGGGGAGATTTGGAGCTTGTAAAGTCTACATTGAGACTATTGGGTTGTAAGCTTCCAAGGCGGAATATGGCCACATCGGGAACAGCGAACACAACAGACAACATTAGCAGATGTGCAGGTGAACATCTGTTTAATGTGGAAGGTTTTCTTGGGGCCTGGGATGGGGGTGAGGTGTAGGGGCAGGTGTAGCATCTCCTACGGTTGCGGGGGCTGGTGGCGAGTGTGGAGTGGACGAGGGAGTCGTGGAGAGAGCGGTCCCTCCAGAAGGCAGGTGAGGGTGGGGAGGGAATATATATCCTTGGTAGTGGGGTCAGATTGCAGGTGGCGGAAATGGTGGGAGAATGATGCGTTGAATTCGGAGGTTAATGGGGTGATAGATGATGACAAGGGGAATTAAATCTTTGTTTCTATTGCGGGGAGGGGATGTGAGGGCTGAGCTTGGGGAAACGCAAGAGATGCGGTCGAGGGTGATTTCGACCACTGTGGGTGGGTTCTTAAAAAACGAGGACATCTGGGATGTTTGGGAATGGAACGCCTCATCTTGGGAGCAGATGTGGCAGAGGCGAAGGAATTGGGAATAGTGGATTGCATCCTTGCAGGAAGGTGGGTGGGAGGAGGTATAGTCTAGGTAGCTGTGGGAGTCGGTAGGTTTGAAATAGATATCAGTTTCCAGGTGGTTACCAGAGATGGAGACAGAGAAGTCCAGGAAGGAGAGAGAGATATCAGAGATGGTCCAGGTGAACTTAAGGTTGGGGTGGAAGGTGTTAGTGAAGTGGATGAACTGTTCGAGCTCCTCGTGGGAGCACGAGGCGGCGCCGATACAGTCATCGATGTAACGGAGGAAGCGTTGGGGGATAGGGCCAATGTAACTACGGAAGAGGGATTGTTCCACGTAACCTACAAAGAGGCAGGCATAGCTCAGGCCCATGCGGGTACCCATGGCCACCCAGATGTCCTCGTTTTTCAAGAACTGCAAATTCCCCTCCACGATGGTCGAAAACGCCCTCGATCGCATCTCTCGCGTTTCCCCAACCTCAGCCCTCACACCCCCTCCCCGTAATAAAAACAAAGACAGAATTCCCCTTGTCCTCACCTATCGTCCCATTAACCTCCAGATTCAATGCATCATTCTCTGCCATTTCCGCCACCTGCAATCTGACCCCACTACCAAGGATATATTTCCCTCCCCTCCCTTACCTGCCTTCCGGAGAGACCGCTCTCTCTGTGACTCCCTCATCCGCTCCACACTCCCCACTAGCCCCACCACCCCCTCACCTTTCCCTGCAACCGCAGGAAGTGCTACATCTGCCCCTACTCCTCTCCCCTCACATCCATCCCAGGCCCCAAGAAAACCTTCCACATTAAACAGATGTTCACCTGCACATCTGCTAATGTGGTCTATTGTGTTCGCTGTTCCCGATGTGGCCTCCTTTACATCGGGGAGACCAAGCGGAGGCTCGGAGACCGCTTTGTGGAGCACTTACGCTCGGTTCGCGACAAACGACAACACCACCCAGTGGCAAACCATTTCAACTCCCCCTCCCACTCCTTGCACGACATGTCCATCCTAGGCCTCCTCCAGTGTCACAATGATGCCACCCAAAAACTGGAGAAACAGCACCTCATATTCCGCCTTGGAACCTTACAACCTCAATGTGGACTTTATGAGCTTCAAAATCTCCCTACCCCTGACCTCATCCCAAGACCAGCGCCCCCTCTCGTCCCAGCCTCCTTGACCTGTCCGTCTTCTCTCACACCTATCCGCTCCTCCCACCTCACTGACCAACCCCCCACCCCAAATTCCTAACTACCAGCTTCATGCCCGCCTCCTTGTCCTGTCTGTCTTCCCTCCCACTTACTCGCCTCTCCCTCCTCACTGACCAACCCCCATCCCAACTCCCTACCTACACTCACCTTTCCTGGCTTCATCTCCGCCTCCTTGACCTGTCCGTCTTTTCTCCACCTATCTGCTCCACTATCCATCTTCTATCACCGCCTCCCCGCCTCTCTATTTATTTCAGAGCCCCCTTCCCCTCCCTCATTTCTAAAGAAGGATCCAGACCCGACACGTCAGCTTTCCTGCTCCTCTGATGCTGCCTGGCCTGCTGTGTTCATCCAGCTCCACACCTTGTTATCTCAGACTCCAGCATCGGCAGTTCCTACTATCTCCCAGTGTAAGAATTCTGCGTCTTCAGTAGAACTAACTGGTCTCATCCACTGCCATCCGAACGCTGTCCATTTTGGGTCATAGGACATGTGTCTGATTGTCAGAGACAAGTTCTATTTCCAGAAGCAATTTATGAAATTAAAGGCTACTTTAATTCATGCTGTCTGAATGAGTCTTTTAGTACTTGACTTCATAAAATTTGGAAAAATCGGAAAAGGAAAAAAATTCCTTCTTCTCTCATTCCATAAATGAAGGCCTTGAATGTCAATATTTCAGAATGGATAGGAAAAGAGACACATGGCGATTGCTGTCTCATGAAATCTTGTCCTAGTCTCCTGTAACTTTCACAAAGAATATGGACTGAAGAAAAGGCATAAATTTTGCTTAACTGATCCAAATGCAACCAGACATCTGGTATCATCTGTGTGTATTTAAATAAATTAGAATATCTGCTAACAGCCTACACTTCAATCATCCACCCACAAGTAGCAATACATACTCTATCTTGCCTTGAAATAAATCTACAATTTATTGTACAATTAATTAATAAAACACTGCTTTGTTTGAAATTATTCAATAATTATATTCAAATATGTATTTTAACCCGGGTTACTTCAGCTTTTATTAAGCAATTCTGTTAAAAACTGAGAATGCAGAGAGCTCCAAATGTTTGTACCAAATAAATTCTTACCCTCACCAAAAAAATGCTTCTGTTTAAATATATATCTACTGAAAGGAAACAATTAATATTGATATCCATGTTCTTGGCCTGCATTCATTTCCAAACTCAATAATTAATACTGTGGGCATTCAAGCTCTGCCAAACTATTTCGTAGAATTTACTTTCACATTTATGAGAAATAATTTTAAACCCATGTCAAATTATATTGATATAATTGCATTACCTTCTGTCTCCTGCCCAAAGAATCAACAATCCCTTTACACCATGTGGAAATACATGATGTTTGACACTGAGTCGTATTTTAACTGTGAGAGGTAATTGTAACACGGGGAGTGGGTGAGCTGACAACATAACGGTGATCAGAAACTATAAAAATGGGAGCAGGAGCTTTGGCTTTATTTGGCTTATTCAGCTGCTGTGTCATTCAATGATATTATGGGTGATCTGCCTGTAGCTTTAGCTCCATATTTATATCTCTCCCATTAACTCTTGACTCCCTTGTCTAGCTCAGCTTTGAATGCATTCAAAGATTCTTTTTGCTGCTTTTTAGGGATGAGAATTCCAAAGACTAATAACTTTATAGTAGAGTAAATTTCCACTAAACACTGTCTTAATTGAGAACCCTTATTTTGAAACTATGTCCTCTTGATGTTGGATTTCCCTATGTGGGAAAACATTCTCTCTGCACCCTAGTCAAGACCCCTCAGTATCTTATAAATTTCAGTCAGTTCATGTCTCATTCTTCTAAACTGCCATGGGTATACATCCAACCTGCTCAATGTTTCCTCATAAGATAAGCTCTTCATCCCAGGAAATGGCTGAATAAAGCTTCTCTAAATTGCTTCCAATATAACGATCTCCTTTCTTGAGTAAGCAGACCAGAACTCTATGTGATAATCTTGTTTGTAGTATGCCTTGCACTAAGACTCCCTACTTTTATATTTC